CTCTGCAACTGTATGTGTGTCTCTGCATCTCCATGTGTTTCAGTGTTTGTATCTGTGTGTTTGTGTACCTACACGTGTGTCTGTGTGTGTGTCTACATATCTGATTTTGTGCCAGTGTGTGTATCATTGTTTGGATCTGTGTGTCTTTACAACTACATGTGTGTCAGTTTGTACCAGTGTATCTGTATGTGTGTTACTGTGTGCATCTGTACATTTGTATGCGTGCCAATGTGTATCTGTATGTGTGTCAATGTTTGTATATGTGTGTCTGTACCTCTGATGTGGGTCATTGTTTGTATCTGTGTGTCTGTAAATCTGTGTTTGTGTCAATGTGTGTATTAGTGTGTCTGTGCAACTGTATGCGTGTCAGTGTTTGTGTCTGTGTATCTGCATGTGTGACAGTGCTTGTATCAGTGTTTGTATCTGTGTATCTGCATGTGTGTTAGTGTTTGTATCTGTGTGTCTGTGTGTCTACATGTGTCATTGTGTATATGCATGTGTGTGAGTGTGTGTATCTAAATGTTTATCATTGTTTGTAACTGTGTCTGTATCTGTATGTGTTAGTGTTTGTATATGTGTGTCTATGTATCTACATGTGTGTCAGTGTGTGTATATCTGTGTGAGTGTGTCATTGTTTGGATCTGAGTGTCTGTACGTCTGTATGTGTGTCAGTGTTTGCACCCATGTGTCTGTGTATCTGAATGTGTGGAAGTATTTGTATCTGTGGGGCTGTGCATCTGAAAATGAGTCTGTGTGTGTATTTGCATGTTAATGTTTATATCTGTGTGTGTGTCAGTGATTGTATCTGTGTATCTGCATGTGTGTTAGCATATGTATCAGTGTGAATGTGCAATTGTATGTGTGGCAGTGTGTCTGTGCAACCGAATGTGTGTCAGTGTCTGTATCAGTGTGCCTGTGCAACTGTATATGTGTCAGTGTTTGTATCTGCATGTGTGTCAGTGATTGTATCTGCGTGTGTATCAGTGTGTCTGTGCATCTGAAAGTGAGTCCATGTGTGTATTTGCATGTTAATGTATATATCTGTGTGTGTATTTGTATGTGTGTCAGTGATTGTATCTGTGTATCTGCATGTGTGTCAGCATATGTATCAGTGTGTCTGTGCAACTGTATGTGTGTCAGTGTTTGTATCTGCATGTGTATCCGTGATTGTATCTGTGTAACTGCATGTGTATCAGCATATGTATCAGTGTGTCTGTGCATCTGAAAGTGAGTCAGTGTGTGTATTTGCATTTTAATGTTTGAATCTGTGTGTGTGTATTTGTATGTGTATGTGTGTCAGTGATTGTATCCGTGTATTAGCATATGTATCAGTGTGTCAGTGTGTCTGTGCAACTTTATTTGTGTCAGTGTCTGTATCAGTGTGTCTATGCAACTGCTTGTGTGTCGGTGTTTGTATCTGCATGTGTGTCAGTGATTGTATCTGTGTATCTGCATGTGTGTCAGCATATGTATCAGTGTGCCTGTGCAACTGTATGTGTATCAGTGTGTCTGTGCAACTGTATGTGTGTCTATGTATCTGCATGTGTGCCAGTGTGTGTGTATCTGTACTATGTATCTGTTTGAGTGTGTCATTGTTTCGATCTATGTGTCTGTTGATCTGTATGTCTATCGATGTGTGTGTGCAACTGTATGTGTATCTGTGTATCTGTGTATCTGTGCATCTATATCAGTGTTTGTTTTGTGTCAGCATTTATATCTGTGTCTTTGTGTAACTTTGTGTCTGTATGTATGTCAGTATTTGTATTTGTGTCTGTGCATGTGTATCAGTGCTTTTTGTGTCAGTGTTTGTATCATGGTCTTTGTGTGATTTTGTGTGTCTGTATCTGTATGAGTTTCAATGTTTGTATCTGTATATTTGCACATGTAAGTGAGAAGCAGTGGGAGCCTGGAGAAGCACTTAGAGTCTGGGGCAGAGGAGAATCAGGGGGAGCATGAGCATAGGAGAAGCAGGATGAACCTGGGCAAGGGAGAAGCAGGAGACAGAAGAGAATTAGGGGAGCCTGGAACAGATACAATGGAGAGCCTGGGGCATAGAAAAACATATCAATTTAAAATAACAGCAACTATATTAATAACAAACATTTCTCTAATATGAGGCGTACAATGTATGGAAATGGGCTGCCAAGGGGTACTCAAATAAAAGAAAGGTTGGGAATAACTGCTTTAAAGGAACTGTAGCGGATAGCACCAGGCGACCCTACAAATATACTGTATATACCTGCATTCGTGTATCTGCTGTGTTTTCTATGTATTAAAGAGAATTGTATTCCTCTGATTGTTCGGTAGTTTCATTCCCTTAGTTTATTCGAATGAAACTACCGAACAACCAGACCTCCCCTGTGTGAAGTGTGTCCTCAATTACCTGTTGCAACATTGTTTCGAACGGGTAATTGAACAGTAAGTAGCCGTCCTTTGTTCTCGGGGGTGGCCGCCATTCGACAAACGAACACGTGGCGGCGGCCATTTTAAAACTCCCGAACAGCGGTGTTTTGCCGTCGAGTGTCTGGAACTAAAATCGGACACTCGAGTAGGCGAACACCGCTGAGACCTCCACAGCCCTGGTCCGTTCGGTTCCAAACTACCGAACGGCACCTTGTTCGGTAGATAGAAAATACCGAACGAGGGGATTCAGGCGAACCCTCCCTAGCCTCTATAGCTAGAGGTTTTCGTGTATTTTATTCCCTTATGCCAGGACCGACCGCAGGGCCCATTCACATGGAACCGAATTTGGCTATCTCAGTTCGTGCGGTCGGTCATTTTATTCCCTCCATACTTTTCCCGAACCCCTGGTCTGATCTGGGTGATTTTTGGATATGTTGTTCACCCAGATCAGGGGTATCCAGGGATGTAGGATTTAAAGAGGTACCCCTACGTTTAGGGGTACATCCAGAAACGGGGGGAATTGGTGTACTGGATAAGGGGATTATGATGCTGGCTGAGGGGAGGAGATGTGTGGGAGGTTACCAGGACAGGATTGGCTACTGTAATAATTACTGTAAATCCCTCCCTTGCATGGGAGCATGCTTTATAAGGAGACTGTGATTAAAGGCTTTCAGTTATGCTCCTGAAACTGTGTGTCATCCAGTTATTGGGATTGCTGTTGGGATATTGCTGTATTTTACCTGCTGGAAGCCTTGCTTGTGGATTTACTATTTACTTGTTCCTGAGTCCCACTTGGATTATAAGCGGAGATAACCTGGATAATATTGCATCTCCGCTACAGGAACTCTCTAACCAATATTTAGTACTGTTTGGCATCTTCCTGTAATTTTCATCAGCCCATTCAGCGGGTGTGGAATCAGCCCCCCACCCCTCATGCACTGTGAAACACTGCACATACAAACTTCAGGTACCGTGACTACTTCAAATCACTAAAGTGGTCCTAGTGTTTGCAATTACCCTTTATTATGATTTTAAATGGGAATTTGAAGGTAAATTATATAGAATATACACCATTGAATATAACATTCATCTATAATTTGTGTTAATGGGACACTATACTCACAAAAACAACTTTAGCTTAATAAAGTGATTTTGGTGTGTAGCTCATACCCTTCCAGTCTCATTGCTCAATTCTTTGCCATTTAGGAGTTAAATAACTTTGTATATACAGAACTAGTCACAGCCTCCCTGCATGTGACTTGCACAGCCTCCCTAAAACCTCCCTGTAAAGAGACATCTAATGTTTAAACTTCCTTTTATTGCACACACTATTTAATTTAGAATATTTCATACAGACTGTGTGAGTCACTGGCTAGGGAGGTGTGGCTAGTACTGATTAACAGAAACAAAAGTGATTTAACTCCTAAATGGCAGAGAATTAAGCAGTGAGACTTCAGGGGCATAAGCTATACACAAAAACTGCTTCATTAACCTAAATGCCTATAGTGTCCCTTTAAACTTTTTCATGAAGTGCCCTGTTTTCTTTGACATTTATGATAAAGATTTATCAAATTACATCATAATAAAAGCTGGGTGCTCTTCTTTTTTCGATCTGAAAATGTTTATTATTTTTGTCATAAAAGGAAACATCAAGTTTACAGGCATTGATAAAACACAGAATACAATACATTCCAATGAATAACTTCTGAGATGGCACAGTTTACATGAATCACAATACCTGAAAAGTTTTAAGTAGGGACATGGCTACCACAGTACACAAGTATGAGCAATGACAGTCCAACATAAGGAAAATCATTGACTGTCATAACCTGGGCATATAGAGGGTGTAAAACTCATTGCTGTGCCAGATCCTCCAGGGTCTGAAGCTACACAGGAAGTAGAAGAGATCATTTCCCATATGCGCACTAACAGGAAATGCCTTGCAGGAGGAGCAGGGAGAGAAATGTGTGATTCACACTGTATAACAGCTACCGTAGTTCTATTATCAATTATAGGAGGGTGAATACATTACTGAAGTTGTAAGATTTACACACAAGTATTTTAGGTTATTTTTTGCCATTGAAAGGGGAAAGATTGAGGCAGCAATAGAAATTCCCAATATTTCAGATTTCAACATCTAAATTTAAGATTGCTAAGAGACCCAAGGAGATTAGATTTGTGAATAATGTGTGGTAGGGTAATGATGGTCTGTGTCACAAGCAGGGACGTATCTTCCGCGAGGCAAACATGTATTCCTGGTATTCTTGCCTTGTGTCCTGGGGACTCAAGAGCTGGCCACTTTTGAGCCCCCCTGAGGCGGGCAGCAAAGCCAGGAGCCGGAATATGATGTCACTACAGCTCCCGGCATCACTAAGCGACGCGCAAGTGAGCTGAGCAGGAAAATCAGAGCTCCCTCGCCGCCTACTCAGCCTGACCGCCAGCAGCCCCACTGGACTGCAGGTAAGTAATCCACTCCACCTCTCCCAGGAAGCTGGGTGGATTTAAAATAAAATTAAAAAAATAATAATTTGTGAGTGTTGTTGGAAATGTGTGTGTGTCTGTAAGTGTGTGTGTCTAAGTGAATGTGTGTGTCTTTGAATGAATGTGTGTGTGTGACGATCAGTGAGTGCGTGCGTCTGTCAGTGAGAGTGTGCGTCTGTCAGTGAGTGTGAGTCTGTCAGTGTGTGTCCGAGTAAAAGTGTGTGTCTGTCTATCAATGTGTCAAATCAGTGAGTGTGTGTATGTCATTGTTTGTCAATGTATATGAGAGTGTGTGTCTGTCAATGAGTGTGTGCGTCTGCCAGTGAGTGTGCGTCTGTCAGTGAGTGAGCGTCTTGGCCTTGACAAGAAGGGGTGGAAAAATGTAAATTACGGGGGGTTCCCGAGCACCGTCCGGCCTAAAGCAGCACAAATCCTAAATACACCACTGGTCACAAGCAGTAGAGTGTCATCTGCATATGCAGACAGGGTCAGCGCTTCCATTAGGCCAGTTAGCCAGTGGCCTAGGGCGCTGTTTAACAGGGGACACCCGCAGGGGCTGTAATGATAATCTGAACTCATCATAAGATTATGCAAAGCATGTGCCGCCTCCCCTGTGACAGAGCTGCCGGGAGCGCCCTCCTCTCACAGCTCCTGCCCTCCTCCTGGTAATTTAGTGCCTATAATGCTTTCCTCTCTCTAGCGATATAACCCTGCCTCTGCCCGCTCACAAATATTAACTCCGCCCCTCCTGCATCAAACCCCGCCTTTCCCAAAACCAAACATGTTAGCTCCGCCTTCCCCAGGTTACCTTTGCCCACTCCTCCCAAACTAATGCATCCAGACACCATGGCTTTTCAAGAGGTGGGCAGAACTAGACAGATCATCCTTTTCTGGCACCCTGTCCTGTTCCTGGGCCATATACAGAAGCTGGATGCGAGGAGGTACTACACTGAGTGGATGGGCTGCTGCCAATGCCTCCAGCTCCCACCTGAGTATGTGAGAGGTGTGTGTGTGTCTAGACTGTGTGTGAATTAGGCAGTGTGTGTGTGTCTATTAGACAGTATGTGTTTATGTATTAGGCAGTGTGTGTGTATGCCTATTAGACAGTGTCTGTGTGTGTGTGTGTGTATTAGGCAGTGTGTGTGTGTGTGTGTCTCTTAGACAGTATGTGTGTATGTATTAGGCAGTGTGTGTCTGTCTTTTACACAGTGTGTTTGAATTAGGCAGTGTGTGTCTACTGTCTATTAGACATTGTGTGTGTCTGTTAGACAGTGTGTGTGTATGTATTAGGCATTTGTAACCCACTGTGTATCTGGGCCCTATACCCTCGTTACCCAATGTGCACTATATATATGCCTTCGCTGGCTTCAATACCTGTAATGCCTGTAGCCCAATGCTGCATGCATCCATTCCATAGTGAGCTCAGATTCTAAATCGTCACTTTCTCTCTGGTGTGAAGTGGAGGTGAAAGAATCTATTCGGGTCTGATGATCAGGAGCTATTGTTGGTTAGCTGTGTGTGGCAAACCTAGCCACTTACAGAGTATTATGTATAAATATGCCTGATGTTTGTTTCTATTGTGTCTCTATTTGTGAGTCACTTAACCCCTGTTAAATTTATTCATATGCAAAGATTTTCACCTAATGTTCATATGCATTTGTGTGTTACGGCACACGAATACCGCTAACACGCTGTTGCAAATTTCACGAACAGTGGATTCCAACCAAAAGACCGAATGGGAGACCACCCCAGAAGGTTATGTGCCGCTCGTTAGTAAAACCGAAACACTGTATCCATCTGTTAATGAGCGTTGTGTGTGGCCACCGTTCATGTACCGAACACTTGGCGGCGGCCATCTTTGCTTTGTTAGAGTTCAGCGTTTGGTTGTCGAGTGCCTGGAACCGAAATCGTCTACTTCATTTCCAAACACCGCTGGACTTCCATAGCGGTTGGGAAACTCTCTCCTTCGGGAAAATAAAACCATTCGTGAGTTTTCTCTGCTAAAACTCAGTTCGGTTAAATGTTTATTGCGAGCAGCGTTCGACTGTTTCTGCAGGGATCAGAGTGGTACTTCGGTAGATTGTACTGATCGATCCCTGCAATCTAATGAGGGGTCATTCGGTAAAATATGTGGTTAAGTTAGCAAATTTAATGTAAAATGTTACTTTTTCCTGGGCCTGTTAATAACGTAATTATTTCTCTGGTACAGCAGTGTATGCTGGGTAATCAGACTGTAAGCCCAGTCCCCCATGTAGTCCACTACTGGACAACCCCTGTAATGTGACTTGGGAAACCCATTACACTTGTAACCGCATAAATACTGTGACCTGTGATTAAAACCTCAGTTGACCTCCAAGCTATGTGTTGTCTAGTTCTTGGGAGAAAGGGATTGTAACTACACTACCTGGATTTTGTCTACTTTGTACCTGCTTTATTCTGTCTGCCAGTGGAGATACCGTGGATAATACTACTACTCCGCTACAATGTGTTGTAAAGAGAAGAATAGTAGTTCCTAAATAGAAAAAACATCTCATCTGACAATCCAACAACCTTTTTAAGTTTAAGTATGTCTTTTTAAGGTTCTTTGCTAAAGATTTTCCACTAATCCCAACATGGCTTTGAAATGAAGGATCACAAACTAGACAAACCGAGAAAAAGCTGCATGTAGGAGCAGGATATATACAGGGACGAAAGACAACATAACCAAGCTGGTAGCCCAAGTCCCCACTCAGACGAAGTGGTCCTGTGGATATAGGCCTCTAAGCCAATACTTGTAATTGGCCAGGCTGAGTCCAGGCAGGTGTGATATATGATTTGCGCCTCCCATGGCACCGCAGCATGCTGAGTAATTACAGCCTCAAGTTTTGACAGGAACCATCTCCCAATGTCCACCAACCTCTCCCTTCTTCTCAGGGAGACAGCTTTAGGATCCCGGGCAATGTTGTTTTTCTCCGAGGTGTGGACTGTGAGCAGTCACTCGGATCCTCTTGATTCCCCACCCAGTAGAGGGGCGCCGATTCAGGGCTCTGACTGGAAGTTGTGTTACAACTATGGGTAGTGCAAGTGGTTTGTTCCTTATTCTCCCAGCTCTGCCAAAATCATTGGCACATGGTGTCAGACTTGAGTAGAAATTCCACTTCACAGTGATCAAGGAGTGTCTGCTCAGCATGCTCGTTGTAGCTGTCGGGTTCACCCAGGATTGGTACAGCAGAAAGTGCTCACTTGGTGGGGGCGGGGATAACCCCCGCTGGCCTAGGGGTGGTGTACGAGTTTCTGAGTAACTACAGGAGGAGCATTGCCCTCTTTCCCTTTACTGTTGGTCTGTGTATATTGTACTGTCTTTTCCCCGATTGTACAGCTCTGCAGAATATGTTGGCACTTTAGAAATGCCAATTTAAAGGAAAATATTTTCTGCTTTAGTAAGAACATTTTACCCTGTGCTAATACTAATATCCACATGATGGTGCTATACATTGAATATCAAGACAATCATTTACATGAGGTTTCTCCATAATAGTAAATGTATTTAATTATAATGTGCTTTAGAATACATAAAAGGTTGTTTTCAAATATGTCCAGAGACGCAAAACTAATGCATAGTTTAAACACACACAAGACAAATAGCGAAACATCAGCAGTTATTTTTGTATGGCTTAACAGATGAGATACAGACAGGCAAATATATTCAGAAATGTCTTGTAGGTGAAGGAGCTGAAGATTGATGACTTCTCCACGTGCAGCGTATTCTCGCCCAGGCTTGATGCTGTTCTGCATGCTGATCTTTTCATGTTTCTGATAATCCTACTAATACTAGAAAACACGTCTGAGAGCATATTTAATGCACATTAATAATATAATAATAATTTGCAATTTTTTTAAGCGCTTTTCTCCCTGTGAGACTCAAAGCACTTTACAAATATACAAACATAAAGACGTAAAAGTTAGGAATTTCTGAAGGTCAGATGAGCAGACTAAATGCCTGATGGAGGAGCTGGGTCTTTTTTTTAAAAGTCTGTAAGGACGATTCCTCTCTGATTGTGCACGGTAAAGAGTTCCAGAAGGTAGGGGCAGCGTGGCTGAATGCCCTGGAACCTGAGTCTGTCTCTATTCTTGGCACTGACAGGAGGGATTTGCTGGCTGACCAAAGTGAATGGGATATCAGGAGCTCTTTCAAGTACTGTGGGCCTTGATTGTTTAAGGCTTTGAAGGTTTGCAGGCCAATTTTAAAATATGTTCGCCATTTAATTGAAGGCCAATGCAGGGAGTGTAGAACAGGTGTTACGTGGCACGAGCGAGTTTGATTGGTCAGCAGTCTGGCTGCTGCATTTTGTACCGTCTGAAGGCAATGGAATTCCATTTCTGGGAGGCCCAAGTAATGTATATTGCAGTAATGTAGCCGAGAGGATACAAATGCATGGATTAATAACTCATGTACTCATAACATTAAGCTTGGTTATATATGTTAAAAATGTGCAAATAACTCATGCCACTGCCTAAACTGAATGCATATGCAAATAAACGCTGTTGTGGCGTATTGACAATGCTTGTACCTACCTGCACTTTAAAAATAAAGAATTTTAAAAAAAATTTTTATGGATTAATGTTGGCATATCATCCAGTGAAATTAAGTGTTGTATCCTAAATAAGTATAAAAAGGTGTACACAAAAATACAATGAATGGGATAGGCTCAACACTTATGAGAGGGATCCCCTTAACCCCCACAATGAAATCAAACTAACATGCAAATATAATATAAGTGGAGCTCTAATATACCTGGGTAATGGTATTAAGGATGGGTGCACTTGATGCAGCACTTTAAAAATCTGTGAACAATATATAACACAATCATAGTGCAGATGGTATGAACAATAATAAATAAATGTGGATAAAAAAAATTCCAACTCACAAGGAGAGAGCCAATAAGTCACCTGGCTCTAGTGTATGTCGCTCTTGGATCCTTAACGGAGATCCACAGCCCTCTTCTGTGCCTTTAAAACCCAAATGTTGGTCAATAGGGATAGAACACAAATCAAATAAAATAAAATCTGATCTAGTGATCAAAAATACTTGAGAAATAATGTAGTCTTAGTACAATTGGTAATAGTAGAGTGTGGCCCTTTTAGAGAGAGACAAGTTTGTGAAATAGATGTTCCTCTGGGAGGCCATAAGCTTTTCTGAAGAGATGGGTTTTGAAGGACTTCTTAATTGATTGTAGACTAGGGTAGAGTCTGATGTCATTAGCAGGCTGTTCCAAAGGAAAGAAGTCGCCCGTGAGAAGTCCTGCAATGGGCTAGTAAGCAGTAAGGGTGTAAGCAGCGGACAGCAGAAGGGGCTTACTTATGAAATACTGAAGGAATATAATAGGAAGAAAAAGATCAGCCTGGCTGCATCATTCATTATAAACTGTAGCAAGGCAGTATAGCTTCTGGGGAGACCAATTAGGAAATAATTACAGTAATCAATGCGATAAAGGACTAGAGCATGAATACGTTTCTTAGCAGTTTCTGGCTTAAAAGAGCGTCGGACGTAGACAACGTTTTTAAGCTGGAGTTGAGAGGTTTTAGCATCAGATTAGCCGCGAAGTGCTAAGGTGAGGCCAGAATCTAAGCTAACACCAAGACAGCGAGCTTGCAAGGATGGACTGATGCAGTTATTTACACATACTGTTTGCTATCAAACTGTCAACCATCTTTGGCCTTTTTTATTTAATTTATTTTAATTTTATTTTTCTAAATTAGTTTTTAGATATATACAAAAGGAACAAATACACAAGCATATATTTCAAAATTTGACTTACCTGTCGGATACATGGACCATTGATTACATTTAGCAGACTCTGTAACCCTGGCATAGATACAACATAATAAGCAAACTCATGGGGGACATTCTCTAAACTAGGAATTACAATGTTTATGCAAAAATAGCCAAGCTGAAAAATATCAGCTACTTTCCAATTAAATTTTTAATTACCTTTAAATCCTGGATTGGTAAATAAACTCTATATCATTGCCTAATGAAAAGTTTACTTGAACTAAATGGCTTCACCTTGTAATTGCACTCATTAGAATTCAAATGCTCCGAGTCTCAACTTTGCCTTCTTGTTCACTGAACTTCTGTGACAGAATAATCTGGGGTAGCATTGTTTAATTACACATAGGGGTCTTTTAGACAGTTCTTTTATAAATGTGTGTTCCTTTTTTTCCTGCATTTCTTTAGAGCACACTTTTTCTTTTCAGAACCCACACTCTGTTACACGCAAGTCTATTATAATCTGACGTTGGGCATCACTCCACAAGAACTAAAACAAAGAAATAGATCCAAGATGAACTTTCTTTAGGTATGTCCAACAGTTACCCCAAGTTTCTCAGGGAATTCAATGCCTATACTCATGTGCTTTCTTTCTGTGAGAAAACAGCTGCCATTGTGAAATGGGGTTAATGCTTAAAAACCTTAAAAAGCATAGCACCCATAAATATCCCCAGTAACTACCGTGCAATCCATTTACATATAAAGGACAGGAATTCCAGAAAACAATACCTGCCCTGACAAACGTTGGTCTACAAGCACTGATCACCACTTCTAAAAAATAAGTTTCAATAAATAAAACCAAAGCATAGGGAGTTCCTAGGATTAAATAATGGCCGTGGCGAAGAAAAAGAAATCAAGTTTAAAAAAAATCATGATTCTGTACTGTGAAATTGATTAGATCTCTGAAAAGGCAGAGTTCAGACGGGGTAAAGAGTCTTGTTGTTCATTTACTATCCGTTGTGTCTATAGTGGAAGTATCGAATACCCAAACACTGGTTCTTAATCAAGTGGGTTTATTGAATTGTTAAACAGTGGAGAGACTCAATGACTGCATTCACTGCTTGCACCACGGGATAAAAAGGGAACAAAAACTGCTAAAAAAAAATGTAGATCTGAAACAGAGAGTAGTTGGGGACATTGCATAAAAGATTATCATAAAAGATGTAACCCTTGAGTGAAGGGACTGTGGGCTATATTTGAAAAACAGAACATGTAGGAGTGAGATCTGGAACCGATGTCAGGAAGCATAGAGTCCAAGCAGTAGGACATGTTATATAAAGTGGTCAGATGTGTCTGAGGAGTTGGCCTGATAACCCACCTTTCCGAAAGACAGGTTGCCTACCAGAAAGACAGAAGCACAATGTAACTTTGCCATAAAGACCACTAACTCGGTGTATCGCCATGGTCTATTCCGCGTGTGGCTTGCCATAGAGTACCTGGATGTAGCCTGTTTTTTAACCCAGTGCAATTGCGACCCATTTCATACTGGAGAAATTTGGTGAAGGCGTCTTACATAGTAAATAATCTTGTTGTACATTATTAATAATAGAAGTTTGGGTCACAGAAATAATACCATATGATTTGGGTCCTGTAAAAAAAAAAAAGGACCAACTGTTATAATGTGTATTCAACTGTTTGTACCGAGCAGTAAAGAACTATTTTAATTAGGTTAGGGAAATGTCGAAATTTACTGAAAACAGTGGATTGTCAGAGCTCCTCCATATGGAAGGGAAAAAGCCTCAATCCAAAAATAAGAATAAATAAATAGTTAGTTTAACACTATAGTGTTCCTTAAAGCAATTTAGAAGGAGAACAATGTATCTATTTACACAGACTGATTTCTAAACATATGTATTGTTGTTTAAATACACATTACATTGAGTATTGTTGCTGTGGAGCTCTGTTATACACCCAGACACACCAACAATATGGAGCTCCTAGAAAAGAGTTACAGAAGGATTTGGGCTGTTCCTCCAAAATAGGGACACTTGGGAGGTATGATATAGTTTTTCTATATGAAAGTAACTTAGTGATGTTTAAGACAGATGAGAGATTAGAAGAATTCTTTCTACTCCATTTTTATTTGTTTGCATATAATCGTCTTCTCTATTTAATATGAAAATCAATAATAAACTAAAAGGAAGATGCACTGTGGTTTTATGTAAAATATATATATTTATTGCAAATATACGTGCTTTGTACATAGTTTCCAACACCTTTTTTCATCTTACTGTCCTTTTAATACTTCTATCAACTGAGGTCATGTTCTGGGACAAAATGTAGGAACTAAAACATGGCAAAACAAACATGGCGCCAAGTGTTTTTATAAAAAAGGAACTAGTTTATGAACACATCAGCAGCAGACTGCAATGACATTGGCATCTTAATACAGAAAAAGTCTTCAGCTGCACTTTTCTACCTAAAAACTGTGTTTCATTAGATCAATATCACCCTAGGTTTGACAGCCAGAACATTAGGAATTGGTTTCTCTCCTTCCTGAGTTCTATTTACATAATACAACCACACTCCAAACGGCAACTATGGGACATTAATCTGAGCAAACTAAGGAAATACAGTACAAATGAATTACTTATTAGCAAGGTGTCTTACTATAACTTCTAGTACATTAGGAATAGGAAAACAATTTCTATGAATATCAGAAACCAACAGATGGTTTACATTCCTCAATTATATTTTAGCTCATGGGGTCTTAAGCATATTCTTCATATTGGATTTCTGTGTGCATCCTAATGGGACACTACAGACATGTAAGTGTTAGAACAGTGGTTCCCAAACTTTTTAGGTTCAAGGCACCCTTAATATTTCAACATTTTTTCAAGGCGCCCCAAGTAAAAAAAAAAATCTAGGTTGTATATATGTACAGCACTGCGGCATATACTGTGCCCCTGTACGGCAGAGATGCTTGCCATTCAGGCGAAGATCCAGAACCTAATCTTGGGAGGGGAACTGGTAGATTATTTAAAGATACAATCCAGGCACAATAACCACTACAGCACTATGTAGTGGTTATGGTACCAGGAGTGCCTTGTTGCCCTCCCAGGGTAAGTAGTCAACCTTTTTTAGAACAGTTTGACAACTTACCTGTGATCTGCCAGGATAGGGGCTGTAGTATGGGATAGGGGCAGTAATGTGTGTGTGTGTGTGGGGTGCAGGGTGCGCATGTGTGTGCGGGGCAGTGAGTGGGTGTGTGTATGGGGGGGCAGTGTGTGTATGGGGAGGGTAGAGTGTGTGTGTGTGGGGGGGCAGTGTGTGTGTATAGTGGGTAGTGTGTGTGTGCGCGCATGGGGGGCAGTGTGTTTGTGTGTATGGGGGGCAGTGTGTGTGTGTATGGGGTGCAGTGTGTGTGTGTATGGGGGGGCAGTGTGTGTGTTTATGGTGTGACGGTGTGTTTGTGTGTATTGGAGGCAATGTGTGTGTATGTATGGGGGGCAGTGTGTGCGTGATTATGGTGGGTCAGTGTGTGCGTGATTATGGTGGGGCAGTGTATGTGTATTGGAAGCAATGTGTGTATGGGGGGGCAGTGTGTGTATTGGGAGCAGGGTGTGTGTATAGGGAGAGTTATTGAGGATGTGGGAGTAGCAGAGGAGATTAATATTTAAGTGTTTTGTTTTTTTATTTAAAAAAAAAAATTACTTACATTTCCCTCCTCCCTGCTTACCTTTTCCTGGGAGGGTGGACAGTACTAATCCCTGGTGGTCCAGTGGAGGTGGTCACAGTGGTGAGTGAACTTTAGCAGCCACAGGAGCTGCTGGAGTTCACTCTCCGAGATCGCAAGAGGATAAACAGGCAGAGCTGCAGGTTAGAGCTCTCCCGGGTCCTCATGGGCCTCCCCCTTCCCCTGCCACCTGTCAGCATTACACTGCCAGCAGGCCGGAGAGGAAGATCTCTGATCTCCCCTCCGGTCCTGCAGAGCCGGCAGGGGAAAGGTATGCACAGTTCCCGGTGCTATCATCATAGCACCGGGAAAATATCTTGCGGCTGCCCTGTGTGTCCATCGCGGCGCCCAGCACAGTTTGGGAACCGCTTTGTTAGAACATTATGCAAAAACTATACCAACTACTGAATCATAGGACCAATAGGAAAAACAAAACAAGCTGGGGAAGCCCTGCTATATAGTGGTAGGTTCCAGCCACTCTCCTCCTCTCCATTGCCTTCCATTATTGATTTGTTTTTTAAATTCCCCTTCATCCTCACTTTCCTCACGGACTCACGAGAAGCTTTTGATTGGAGTTTGTGACTGCTGTCATGATGGCAGGTAGGGAGTGGAAAGCTGCGTCAGGAACTTTGCCTGTCGCTAGATTTAAAGGGACACTATAGTCAACAGAACAACTACAGCTTAATGTATTTGTTCTGGTAAGTATAATCACCCCCTTCAGGCTTTTTGCAATAAAAAATAGGTGTATGGCTCAGTGGTAGAGCATTTTTCTGCAGATCAAGCGGTCTCAAGTTCAAATCCTGGTGCCCCTCTAAAAATCATGAATCCAAAGTTACCTACCAATCTCTATCTTGTGTATCATTGATTCTGCAGTTATCTATCCTAGACTTAAGATAAGGCCAGGGACTAATGAAAGTATTTATAAAATTGGGCAGACTAGATGGGCCAAACGGTTCTTATCAGCCATCACATTCTATGTTTAAAATGCAGTGTTTTCATTATAGCCTAGGGATACCTGCATTGGCCACTCCCTCAGATGGCTGCTAGAGGTGATTCCTGGGGCAGTGCTGGACAGTGAGCAGTACTGCCATTCAGTGTCTCCACCTTCTGCATGGAGACATTGAACTTTCCTCATAAAGATGCATTGATTCATCTACGAGGAGATGCTGATTGGCCAGGGCTAGCTCTGCCCCTAATTTGCCTCCTTGACAAGCTTTCCTATGTGAAGGCATTATGATTGGCTTTTGATCAACACTTCTGATGATGTTAGTCAAGCAGGCAGATCAGGGGCAGAGCCAGCAGCAGCAGCAGCAGCAGCAGATTGAAATAAAAGTAAGATTTTGCTATATTTAGGGGCAGTGGAGCGTAATGGTGTTTCTAACACTACAGTGTAAGGGATACAAGTTTGTGTTCCTGACCCTATAATGTTCCTTTAAAGGAGCATTTTAGTGCCAGGAAAACAAACTTGTTTTCCTGGCACTATAGGGTTGTTAGGTTCCCCCCATCCCTCGTGGCCCCCGCTGGGCTGAAGGGGTTAAAACCCCTTCAGCTACTTACCTTAATCCAGCGCCAGGCTCCCTCAGCGCAGGTGACCTCTCCTCCCCCTGCCAACGTCAGCTCTGAATGCGCAATTGCAAAAAATGCTTTCCTATGGACGTCAGCGTCATCTCAGTGTGATTTTTACACTGAAAATCATGAAAGTGGCCTCTAGTGGCTGTCAGGTAGACAGCCACTAGAGGCTGGATTAACCCTCAATGAAAACATAGCAGTTTCTCTGGTTAAAACCAGGTGGACCTGGCACCCAGACCACTTCATTGAGCTGAAGTGGTATGGGTGCCTATTGTGGTCCTTTAAGGTGAGGGTTTTTTTACATTAATGCCCAATAGGGCATTATTCATTAAAAATAAACTGTCAAAAAGGGTTGGAGTAACCCTTTAAGGAAACGTTGCATCAAATCCAGCCTTCCATGGTCCTATAATGCATTATGCCCAGCTTAAATGGTCAGTCTAAGCACCAAAACTACTTTAGGTTAATTACGTGATTTTGATACATGGATCATGTCCCTTCAGTCTCATCTCTCAATTGTATGCCATTTAGGAGTTATGACACTTCATTTCTGCAGCCAAAACTACTCAGACTAATACTCATGCAGCCTCCTTTCACACCTCCAAAAAAAATATTATTTCATTTTGGAACATTCACTCTTACCTTGCAGACTGTGTCTCCGCTTTTATGCATGCCTTCTCTATGCTGACTACCAGAGCTTATAGCAATGAGGGACCAAGATGCAGGGTATGTGAATGCATATATTGTAAATGTCAGGATCCTATCCTAACAAACAAGACTTTTTGTTCTGTTTTTTCTGTTCCCTTAAAACCAAGTTACTACACTGATTATGTTTGACCACTAGTGGCCTCCCTTGCCCCTCGTTCTGAAAACTTACCTTATAATCCTCACCTGCCTGGACTAATTGAGCAACCTACAAAAGGCTACACCCAACTCATCATGTGGCCTTTACATTGAAGTTGATGCTCATCCTGCAACACTTCAGATCCTGGCTCCTGTGAACCAGTCTGTGGACTTACCTTCTTTGCTTCAATCCTGCTTACTTCCAGACCTGCACAATACCAGCCTGAACTACTCCTCAATGCTGCTTACTTCCAACCCTGCTCAATACCAGCATGAACTACTCCTCAATCCTGCTTACTTCCGACCCTGCTCAATACCAGCATGAACTACTCCTCAATCCTGTTTACTTCCAACCCTGCTCAATACCAGCATAAACTACATCTCAATCCTGCTTACTTCCAAACCTGCACAATACCAGCCTGAACTACTCCTCAATCCTGCTTACTTCTAACCCTGCTCAATACCAGTCTGAACTACTCCTCAATGCTGCTTACTTCCAACGCTGCTCAATACCAGCATGAACTACTCCTCAATCCTGCTTACTTCCGACCCTGCTCAATACCAGCATGAACTACTCCTCAATCCTGCTTACTTCCAACCCTGCTCAATACCAGCCTGAACTACTCCTCAATCCTGCTTACTTCCAGCCCTGCTCAATACCAGCATGAACTACTCCTCAATCCTGCTTGCTTCCAGCCCTGCTCAATACCAGCATGAACTACTCCTCAATCCTGCTTACTTCCGACCCTGCTCAATACCAGCATGAACTACTCCTCAATCCTGTTTACTTCCAACCCTGCTCAATACCAGCATAAACTACATCTCAATCCTGCTTACTTCCAAACCTGCACAATACCAGCCTGAACTACTCCTCAATCCTGCTTACTTCTAACCCTGCTCAATACCAGTCTGAACTACTCCTCAATGCTGCTTACTTCCAAACCTGCACAATACCAGCCTGAACTACTCCTCAATCCTGCTTACTTCTAACCCTGCTCAATACCAGTCTGAACTACTCCTCAATCCTGCTTACTTCCAAACCTGCACAATACCAGCCTGAACTACTCCTCAATCCTGCTTATTTCCAACCCTGCTCAATACCAGCATGAACTACTCCTCAATCCTGCTTACTTCCAACCCTGCTCAATACCAGCATGAACTACTCCTCAATCCTGCTTGCTTCCAGCCCTGCTCAATACCAGCCCTCACTACTCCTCAATCCTGCTTGCTTCGAACCCTGCTCAATACCAGCCTGAACTACTCCTCAATCCTGCTTACTTCCAGCCATGCTCAATACCAGCATGAACTACTCCTCAATCCTGCTTACTTCCAGCCCTGCTCAATACCAGCCTGAACTACTCCTCAATCCTGCTTGCTTCCAGCCCTGCTCAATACCAGCCCTCACTACTCCTCAATCCTGCTTGCTTCGAACCCTGCTCAATACCAGCCTGAACTACTCCTCAATCCTGCTTACTTCCAGCCCTGCTCAATACCAGCCTGAACTACTCCTCAATCCTGCTTACTTCCAACCTGCTCAATACCAGCCTGAACTACTCCTCAATCCTGCTTACTTCCAACCCTGCTCAATACCAGCCTGAACTACTCCTCAATCCTGCTTACTTCTAACCCTCCTCAATACCAGCCTGAACTACTCCTCAATCCTGTTTACTTCCAAACCTGCACAATACCAGCCTGAACTACTCCTCAATCCTGCTTACTTCCAGCCCTGCTCAATACCAGCCCACACTACTCCTCAATCATGCTTGCTTCTAAACCTGCTCAATACCAGCCTGAACTACTCCTCAATCCTGCTTACTTCCAGCCCTGCTCAATACCAGCCTGAACTACTCCTCAATCCTGCTTACTTCCAGCCCTGCTCAATACCAGCCTGAACTACTCCTCAATCCTGCTTGCTTCCAGCCCTGCTCAATACCAGCCCTCACTACTCCTCAATCCTGCTTGCTTCGAACCCTGCTCAATACCAGCCTGAACTACTCCTCAATCCTGCTTACTTCCAGCCATGCTCAATACCAGCCTGAACTACTCCTCAATCCTGCTTACTTCCAAACCTGCACACTACCAGCCTGAACTACTCCTCAATCCTGCTTACTTCTAACCCTCCTCAATACCAGCCTGAACTACTCCTCAATCCTGTTTACTTCCAAACCTGCACAATACCAGCCTGAACTACTCCTCAATCCTGCTTACTTCCAACCTTGCTCAATACCAGCCTGAACTACTCCTCAATCCTGCTTACTTCCAACCCTGCTCAATACCAGCCTGAACTACTCCTCAATCCTGCTTACTACCAACCCTGCTCAATACCAGCCTGAACTACTCCTCAATCCTGCTTACTACCAACCCTGCTCAATGCTGGCCTGAACTACTCCTCAATCCTGCTCACTTCCAACCCTGCTCAATACCAGCCTGAACTACTCCTCAATCCTGCTTACTACCAACCCTGCTCAATACCAGCCTGAACTACTCCTCAATCCTGCTTACTACCAACCCTGCTCAATACCAGCCTGAACTACTCCTCAATCCTGCTTACTTCCAACCCTGCTCAATACCAGCCTGAACTACTCCTCAATCCTGCTCACTTCCAGCCCTGCTCAATACCAGCCTGAACTACTCCTCAATCCTGCTCCCTTCCAACCCTGCTCAATACCAGCCTGAACTACTCCTCAATCCTGTTTACTTCCAGCCCTGCTCAATACCAGCCTGAACTACTCCTCAATCCTGCTTACTTCCAGCCCTGCTCAATACCAGCCTGAACTACTCCTCAATCCTGCTCACTTCCAGCCCTGCTCCATACTAGCGTGAAGTACGCTTTATCTTACCCACCTGATTTCTATCTGATCCATACAACTTGTCTGCTCCATACCTACCTGCATACCACGAATCTGGACTCTGTCTCAAAGTAATATTATATGGTGTTATTTTCCTGCTTGATCAATACTCCTTCTAATTGGGGGCTGATTAACTACATTTCTCCTTTAGCTGTAATCCTGCAACCTATTTGTTCTGTTCTGTTTTATTTGTCCTTCTATTTTAACCTATACTTTTATCTATAGGTTTTCTTATTATTTACTTTCATTTCTGTTTATAATCTATTTAGGGCATATTGCCTAAGCCCCTTTATTTCTGTTTTCACTCTCTCTTTCCTATAATTTCTATTCTAGGATATCCTGTTCATACTATGTCTAAGTGCACAAATAAAGTACCCGAAGTCAACCCTGGCATAAATCTTCTCTCTGACCTGCTGAAGATCATGACAGTAAATTTCACACCTCACAAATGCATATGTGTTAGCTGCAAGGAGTAAATCTAATATTAAAAATATATGAAGCAACAGGTTTTTTTAAGCATATATATATATGGGTAAATCTGACTTGGTTTTAGT